AGGTCTGTTCCGCATTCGTCACATGAGGGTCTGCGTGAGTCAGTATGTGATTGGCTGTTATAGAGACCAGAAAACAGCGAGCGTTCCGAAAGTGCACTTCGACTTGAGCTTGTCACGACGAGCGATCACAAGTGCATTTTGTGTTGAGCTAGTCACTATAGATTCTTCAAAACCTGATAGGTTTAATGAGATTAAGACAATGCTGAAGGTGATTTTGTCCTACGATTAAATTTTCCGAGATAAATATTTACTAATCCCACCTGTAAATAAATACAGTCTAGAGGGATCAGTGCAATAAACTTGCCGTCTATTAAACCAATAGAATCCAAATAAAGAAAGTTGGGATACATTGAAGTCTTGAATGTAACAGTTAATCTCTATAATCGCATAACTGCATTTGTTTACGTCGGCAGAAAAACATTCATATGACTCCAATCAGTCAAACTGGATGCATTTTAAATAATTTAATTTGTCCGCACGATCTGCTTATTCGTCTTTGTTTCATTAAACTCTCTGATTTGTTCAAGCACCTCAGCCTAAAACCCGTTTTCCCTATTCGTGAACGCAGCCGATTGGCGATGCCGCTTTGTATTTGTCTTATGCCGTTTTAATTGTCTTCTGTGTCCTGCAGAAAGTAAATGAGGTATTTCTTTATATACATGATAACAATAAAATGGATACTTGCGTATTCGACCTTCGGAAAACTGCCATATTATTTGGGGTTATCGGTTCAAATGTAGCTTTACTGTTATTCTTTCATTGAACCATTATATGCGTACAGCCAGATAGCGATTGTCACATTTAGTTCTTGATCTCCTTAGAACTCCATATCCTCAGTCGGTGACATTTTCAGATGCCGATGTCCTTTGGTATACGTGCTTGTACACCTACTATATGTAATTTCGTAGGCATAGTTATGTTTTTTACTGCACTCCAAAACTCAGAACTCTTTAGCTTCCAGCGGTTGCTTTTGGTTTTATTAGTTAAAGTTTACTTTTATGTTTATTGTTTATTTTATTAGTTTAATTTTAGTTATAGATTTAGTTAGCTTAATCTTTAATTCAAGTTAGTTTTCAAGCAACATACGAATGCTTGATGTAATGGATCCGACAAAGCAAAGGGAGATCGGAATGGCCATTTCTGGCTTATTGGCCGTTATCAGCCAGTCATACCCAATCTCAAGGTTTGGAACCCCCGTGATTTGAACCCGGGACCTTTGGTCATTAAGTTCAATACT